CTGAATGTGTGTCTCTTGGGTCCCTGGAACTGGAGTTACAGACAGTTGTGAGCTGCCATGTGGATGCTGGGAATTGAACCAGGGTCCTCTGGAAGAGCAGCCAGTGCTCTTAACCGCTGATCCATCTCTCCAGCCCTTTCTGGGAAGATTTTAACAACCTCAAACTCAAGTCACTCCAGCAGCATGTGACAGCAGAGTCTGGCCTCTTGTCTTGCCCCACCGTGGTCCTCCCACGTCTCTTCCTTCCTTCCTTTCTTTTTCTAAATGAAATTGATTTTATTCCTCCAACTCTACCCTCCTACTCCCCATGCTGCCCCCTCCAACATTCTTTTCTTAACTTGATGTTAGTGCTGGCTGTCGGGATGTTGACTGATCTTGTGTATGATCTTGGGATGTTGGCTTGGTCTTGTGCAGGTGACCACAGTGAGTCCATGAGCATGATGGCCTTGTCACACCCAGAAGACAGAGCTCTGTAACACTCCTTCTCATTCCCCACTAGTTCTCATCTTTATTATTCGTTATTCTCCACCACTTCTCCTCCTCCTTCTGCCAGTGTCAGGAAGAGCTATGCCCTGGCTCTTGCTTTATCATCTTTATTGTATAGCACACCACAGAGAAACAAACACTGACATTCAGACACTGTCAGCCAGGTGTGGTGGCGCACGCCTTTGGTCCCAGAGCATGAGAGGCAGAGATAGACGCAGCTGGATCTCTGTGAGTTCAAGGATAGCCTGGTCTACAGAGTGAGTTCCACACCAGCCTACGCAGTGAAATCCTGTCAGACACCCAAAAATGTTTGCTTTTTAAAAGAAAGTTTTGTCAAAGAAGCATTTCAAACTTTTGACTCAGTGTAAACGGAATCATTCTAATGACTTCTCATATGTAAGGGGGTGATACCCATCCTCTTCATTCTAAGGCTCACAGTCCTATGACAAAAGACAGCATAGAGGACTGGAGAGATGGTTCAGTGGTTAAGAGCACTGGCTGCTCTTCCAGAGGAGCTGGGTTTGAATCCCAGCACCCACATCGCAGCCCACAACTATCTGTATCTCCAATCCTGGGAGATCTGATATCCCCTTCTGGGTTTCTTGTCGCCAGGCACCCACATAGTATAGAGACATGCATGCAAACAGAACATCCATACACATGAAATTTTAAAAAAAGATATTGTAGGAAAAAATCACTGCAGGTTTATGTAATCAAACTTTTACATAACACAGGAAACTTTGGAAATGAAGACCCAAATACCCAGGAACAACTGTCCATTTTTAATGTTTTATTTGGACAAAAATGGATAACTAACTGCAGATGTGATTGGACAAGGAGGTTCATGGTCTACTGGTAAAAGACTAGGTAAGAGAACCAGCAAGGCTGGTCTGTTCAGATTCCTGGTCTGTCTGTGAGGCAGTCCATCTCTATGGTACTAGTCAGAACCCCTCCTAGAAAGGAGGTTTTATGACCTACTATGAGGCAAGACAGGCTAAATTACCAGCTCAGGGTCAGCTACTACACAAAAGGGCAGAAGAAGGTTCCAGCTCTCCTACACAAAAGAGCAAGGGGGTGGGGTTGAGCAAGGTTTCTAGGTTTTATGGCTGTCTTCAACAGAGGGGTAGGGTTCAATAATCCACCTTGGGAAAGAATAAATTGAACCCAGTGCATTGGACAAGCCAGGCAAAGACTTCTACACCTAAGCCACATCCTCAACCTTAATGTGTCATTTTCTGAGTCTGAAAATCAGCAAAGAAATGTACGAGAATAAGGCATTTTAAAACGGCAGGTGTTAGAACTGGGCATGTTGGCACATGCTTGTAATCCCAGAATTTGTGAGGTAAATTCAAAAGGATCATGAGTTCAAGGTCAAGATGGGATGTAACACTGTCTCCATCGAAAATCAATCAGTCAACAGAACTCTATTTAGTTGAACATCATGGCAGTTAATCCTGTCTACTTCATGGGATTTAATTAGAAAGGCTGTGGACACAAACCTCTGGGTCAATGGAGGTGAGATGACCCATCCTAAACATAGGTGACACCATGCCACACCTGGTCCTAGACTAAATAAAAAGGAGAAAATGGGCTGAGCACCAGCATCATCCTCTGCTTCCTGACTTAAGATATGAGGGACCAGTTGGGCCATCCTCTCCATGATGGACTTAAGCTGGAATCATGAACCAAAATAAGTTGGTTCTTCCTTAAGTTGCTTTTCCAGGCATTTTGTCACAGTAATGAGAAAAGTAATTTAACACAAGCATAGACTTTTACATTTTTAGAATTGTAGGCATTTTTACGAAACTGAAACAGGAAATTTAGGAAGTTCGAATTGTTACTGAAGTCCTGGCTTCTCACTGCTTGAAAATCAGTGTTTAGGAAATGAGAGCTAATAAGAAGGAATCCAGGCTTTGCCCAAAGAGCCATGCTTAAGGAGATTCTGGGGACTGTCATCCACAAAGCTCCATCTCCAGCAACTCAAGGGTACAAAGGGGTTGCATAGGAGGAAAAGCAAGAGCAGGCTAAGAAGGCTGCATGAACCTGATCGGGAATGCCCTTCTGTATGTATGTTTCTCTTGTTGTTTGATGAGTAAAACACTGATTGCCCAGTATCCAGGCAGGAAGTATATGCGGGGCTACCAGACCAGGAGAATTCTGGGGAGAGGATGCAGAAGGTGAGCAGCCAGAGAGACACCATGTAGCCACAGAAGGAGTAACATGCTGGAACATTCTCCAGTAAGCCAAGACTACCTGGAAATACTTAGATTAATAAAAATGGGTCAATAATTAAGAGAGAGCTAGCCAATAAAAACCTGGAGCCATTGGCCAAACAGTTTATCATTAATGTAAGTCTCTGTGTGTTTGTTTGAGACTAAATGACTGTGGGACCAGGTGGGACAGAAACTGTCTACAGCAACCTTCAGGGAACATAGCTTTGTTTTCCTTCTCCAAAGCATCCATACATCTCAATAGACAATGGCCTCTCAAGCCAAGTTTCCTTTACTTTTTAGGCAGTCAGATTTCTTTCCTGAAAGTCAAACCTCAAAGACATCTCCAGGCTATGTAATATGATGCACAGGATTAATTAAAGAAAAATCACACGACTCTGATGCTAGATAAAGATTCCCAGACACCCTGAGTTCTGTAAATCTAAAGAAGTGTGATTTTCCTGTTAAAATCATTGTTTGTTTTAGACAGAGTTTCATATGTGTAGACTGACCTTAAATGCCTCGTAACTTATCAGTTAATATTCCAAACGTTTAAAAGGGAGGGCTTCTCTTTAGAATTACTGGGCATCAAGAGGGAAGTGCTGGGCATAACAGGGAATAGGGCACAGCAAGGGGACAGAAGGCTTGCTGCCCCCGCCCCTGCCCACAGGGTCATTCCATCAGAGAGAAGAGTGGCAGACACATTCCATTCTGAGTGACAGAGATAGAGATGTCTGCTATTTTATTGTGCTTCTTCTATATTTTGAACATTTATAGAAATTAAGATAAAAGAGTAATACACATATCTAAAACAACCAAAACCCTCTCACCAGGAGCAGCATGTTGAAACTGTGGTGTAGCATATCATGGTTAGAGAGAATAGACGGAAGAAAGGGCCAGTAAAGGAACTTGGTTAATGTATCTGTGTATCGATCGATATGGAAAGATTCATAACATGGTGAGCAGAAAAGGAGCATAGGGGCTGGAGAGATGGCTCAGCACTTTATAACACACAGGGGACCAGAGTTCAGTTCCCAGCAGCCATATCAGGCAGCTCACAATCATCTATAACTCCATCTCCTGGGGATCTGACACCTCTGGCCTCCCTACGCGCACGCACACACACACACACACAAACACACACACGAAACAGTAGTATAACAGAATATGTGGTTATATGTGATTTAATAAAAATTAAATGGCAAAACTTGGCTATAAATTATTAAAATAGGCTACAGGTTTAACAAACTCATGGTGTAACTCTGTGGATGACATGGTTGGGGTGGGAGCTTCCTCCATAGGTGGTATTAGTCTCAGCATGCAGGAGGAGCTGGACCTGAAGTCCAGCCTGGGCTACTTAATAAATTCTAGAATGGATTGAATGAGAAGGAAGGAAAGAAGGAAGGAAGGAAGGAAGGAAGGAAGGAAGACAATAAAAGACACTACAAAAAGAATCATGAAGCAAATAACAAAACACTTAGTACTAAATGACAGAAATCAAGCTATCTTGGGCTAGGGACATAGATCAACTGGAAGATGACATAGCTGACACCCAAAAAGCCCTGGATTTAGTCTCCAGCCCCACATTAACTGGGCATGGTACATGCCTGTAATTCCAGAACTCTGCAGGCAGAGAGAGGCAAGAGAACTGGAAGTTCAAGGTTCATAGTGATTTCAAGACCAGTCCAGGATAAATGAAATCTCTTCAAACACACACACACACACACACACACACACACACACACACACACACACACACAAGAATCAACAGCAAAAAAAAAAAATAAAGACATTTGCTATTTCATTCTTTGTGTTTGGGGATAAGCATAAGCATTTTAGAAACTAAAAGTCCTCCAGATAGACAGTTTTGCTGTCTTTATAAAGTTGGGTGAATTCTAAGCAACAAGACTTGACATTATTAAGTATTCTCCTAAAAGAACACTTGATGTTTAACGTATTTGGCAACTCCGGTTGCTTGTGTGTGGATCCTCATATGACACAACAGGATGAAAATATTGGCTCAGAGAGCAGGGAGGAACCTATACTAATCATGCCTGAAATCTGGGCACACCCACTTGCTTACTCCCCCCACCCTATCGTTGTCCCCCTCCCCATCTCCACTCAGCCTATCCTCTAAGGGAGGTGATAGACTCGCCTGAGGCCACACTCATTTCCCAGTCCCTCGGCTACTGTTGAAGCTAATACTTTATAGAGGAGGAGTTTATGGGCTCCTTTAAAACCCTGAGTCTCCGTGCTCCCTGATCACTCCCTCTCAGCATCCTGCCCAGCAAAGAAACAACTCACCAGAATGATCCCAGGAGGCTTGTCGGAGGCCAGACCTGCCACACCAGAAGTCCAGGAGATTGCCGACCAGGTGAGTTGAGGCATTTGGTCCCAAATCAAACTTTCGTCATTTGGTTCATAATTTGGCTCAGTGTTAAGAGTGTAGGAAATCACAGAAACCAGAAATGTGTGGGTTATATTCAGACTTTTGTGCAGCTAAAGATGGAACATTAAGACTTCTCAGGGAAATGTCAGCATTCCAAAAGTAAACTTGGACAAGCCACACTGTAACTTCAGTGTCCCCACTTGCTCAAGGTGAATTTGTAAAATAGTCTCTAAACCTTTTACTTATAAGTGTGATTCCAGGGGCTCTCAGGTACTTGCTCACGAAGTTTTCAAATATCACCTAAGGCTGTTAAGGATTCCTGAGCGGATTCCTAGGATGCTATGTGCACCACACCTTTACAGTCAAAATAGAACTCGACATTTTTAGCAAGTTCATGCATCTTGCATAACTATCATCTATATAATAAAAATGTGTTGTGTTGCATGTTTTATAAAAGAGAAATGTATGCAAATTGAGGGTCTAGGTTTGCCTTATTTCCTTACATCAATTTGTTTTCCTCCCTGAACCAGGGAGACAGATCAGTTTTGTTTGTTGTTTGCTTGCCTGTCTGTTTGAGACATGGTCTTGTTATGTCCTGACTGACCTAGCACGTAGGTAACCCAGGGTGGCTTCAAACTCACAGCACTTCTCCTGCCTTAACTTCCTAAGCATCATCATACTAGGCATCATCGGCTTTTGTGTGAGTAGAAGAGATGGGAGCCTTCATGTTTAGGGCACTGAACATTCTAGAGGAGGTCACGGCCCTAAATTTCAATGGCTAAATATTTGAAGCTAAATAGTTCTCACTTGTAATTTTATTTTGTTTTTGAAGAAGATAACCCTGAATCTGTATACCTTCCTTAGAATCCTCACATCAAGTTGGTGTTCTCAGACTTGAATGTGCACACGAGTCACATGTCCTTCTAGATAAAATGCAGATCTGCAGGGCTGGACAGGCTCGCAATTCCACATTCTCCCAGGCTCTCAGGTGCTGTGGCTGCTTCCTCCCTACAACTTCACTGTTCTGTAGGACCAGATATCTGGTATCCTAGGAGGCTTGTGAGATGGGACTTTGAAATAGGGTTCCAAGGAAAGGTTCTCCATTTCATTTGTAAGAAGCCAAGAGCTAAAAGGACTAACTAAAATAATGTACATAAAAATTGTTTCAAAAACAAGTATTACAGATAAGGCATCATTGCTGTTGATGTCACCTGAAAAAAATCCCACAGCCTAAAAACTTCCCCTGAGATGTTACAGAAACCAGAGCTGTGGGGAATGGATAGGGAAATACAGCTATTTGAAATATAGAAAATACAACAGATTTCAATGATTTTTAATAGTTGTTCACCTTGTTTGAACAATTGTTCTATTTTGAAATGTTGGGAGGGGTCTTGCTGTTTCTCAGAGGGGTACTCCCAACCTGATAGGTTCAAGTAATTCCCTTGCTTCTAGTCTCCCAAGTACCTGGGACTACAGGAGTGTGTTATCCTGCCTGGCTAGGGTGGTTTTTAAGTATATTTTTACTAGTTCTTTGAGAATTTCATATATACATTCAATGTATTTTGATCATATAATTTTCCAAGTTAGGCAGCTACTGGAAGGGCTTACCTTGCTAATGACTCCATCCATAGACCACATCTTCAGTGATAAACTTAATTTAGAAGTGTGTTCTTATAGCTTCAGAGAAGCAGCATGACAAATAGATTTTCACAAGGCCACCTCACCCCAGGAAGGAGTTGTAAAAGCCTTGACATCCATTCCACCTCCAATTTGATTTTCAAAGCCATAGGGCAGGCAAGGCATTTTCAGATGATGAAACCAGAACTCAAAATGTTTGAGAGTCACCCAGTTAAGAAATTTATCTGTCCTTTCCACTGCATGACCTCAACACACCCGGGAGCTTTTGCAGGTATGAGGGGAGAGAATGCAGCAAACTTGCCTTCTTCATGCAATCCATGGCCTCGGGTTTAAACCACAATGCACTGTTGCATAGGCACGAACCATTTCATGGTAGGGGCATTTCCTGAGTCTCTCCTAGGTGTCTAGCATCGGGCTACAAACTGCTACATAAAGGATTATAAGACATGCCCACTACTCCTGAAAAATTAGCAGTATAAAGGAAGTCAAGATATCTAGAGCATATTATAAAATAAAACTTAATTTAGTTCTCTTTCATAATCATAGGTTTAAGACCAAAAAGGCCATTAGGCATGGCTGTCAAACCTTTTACTGTAAGGTGAACAAGTGCAGTGTGGTGGCTCAGCTCCCAGACATCACTCATCTGTCCTCTCTTGCAGGAGACAGCCTTAGGGGACAATTCCCAGTTAAGTGTTGGGAGGCAGAGAAGCTGCAGTAAACTGTATATTTTAGGAAGCATTTTCTCAGCCTCATCAATCATTCCCCCTCCAAAGAACCCCTCAAGCAGATACTACTGAAGTCATTGTTAAGTCAGGAAATTGAATCAACTCCTCCTAGTTTATGGTTGCTGGGGTCCCCACATAGTGTCAGGCCAGAGAGGGTTATTCCATCTCTACAATGATTTGTGGGGTCCCAGAGAAAATCTCCATGACCTGTCATTTGCTTTGTACTTTTATTACATGTGTTTTAATATGTATTTTTTTATTTTTAAAAATTTTCAGTTTTAAAAATGTTCTTAGGAGAGACAACTCTTGGCTGTCTCTGCCCTTTGCAGAGGACTCTAAATGGGGAGGCAACAGAAGGAAGACCCCAGTAGGAAGGAAGGAGAGGAAGGAAAAGGAAAGGTCATCACATAGAGCAGGGAAAGTACCATGGAGAAGTAGTACCTGCATGTCCTGGGAGTTGAACACCAAGCCCACAGAAAAGCAGGCAGAGGCTTTGGGATTGGGAGAATGTGAGAATTTTCAGGGGAGACAGGTATTCCTAAAGCTTGTCATTCAGAAAACATTGATTATCAGGTGACAAGACGGCTCAGCACCCCAACCCATATAATGGTGTGCATTAACTCCAAAAGTTGTCATCTGATGTCCACAGGCATGCCATACACACACACACACACACACACACACACACACACACACACTCATGAACCCAAGTGTACAAGTGATTTTTTTAATTGGTTATTGCCAGGTGGTGGTGGCTCACATCTTTTATCCCAGCACTCAAGAGACAAAGGCAGGTGGATCTCTATGACTCTGGAGCTTGATCTACAGAGTGAGTTCCAAGACAGCTAGGGCTATATAGAAAGGCCTTGTCTTGGAAAAAAAAGATTGTTACATAATGAAAATGATGAAATAAAAAGGCATTCACATTCCCACCCGTGAAAAACCATAGCATGTCCAATGAAAGACCAAGTAAGCAGATTGCAGTTGGTGATCTTTTATTGTTGACTCTGGAAGGGAATTCCAGGTATGTTTAGCTGAGGGAAAGAAATGTTATTTTAATGACTATTTTTAGAAGCAAAGGCTATGATTACACATGCAGATGTGTGTGCACACTACCCATACTCTTCTTCATGTTGGAAACCTAGTTGCTGAACACCATTCCTGGCGAACACACTAAGCATGAGTTTCATTGGCTGGGACACCACACAAACACCTTATTGGCACAGCAGGACACACCCTGGGCTTTAGCGTCATGGCTCCCATTGACCTCATCTACAGATTTAGGTTCTTCTCTCCAACCTCAGCTTGCTTGCCAATTATTTCTCCTAGTGTCCCTTCCCCAGAGAACCTGCCATTCAACCACACCAGCATTCTCAGAATGCCTACCCTCCCATCTTTATCAGAACATGCCTAGATCCTCTTGGTCATTCATCCATGACGGATATTTTCATGCACTCCTCCACTCTGATTCCCATGATCCTGTGAGCTGTGACGTTCCAATCTTCAATTAGAGGTCACTCCCACGGCCCCCACTTCCTCCTCCACTTCTGCTCCAGGAAATCGCAGGACCTCAGGAAGCTTACCATTCCAGTGTGATGATTGAATGTCCATGTCATGGCAGGGCCCTGGGGACAGCAGAGTGTCCTTTAAGTTCTATTTGTTGTTGTTTTCCTAGAAACCTATACCTTCTCCCCACTGTCATCATGTGCCCCTCTCCTCCCATGGGCTCCCCTGCAGGTTTCTCAGTTCTTACTCTGCTTGGAAAACTGCTGGCATCTGTCAAGGAAATACCCCCGTTTATCATATTGTATCAGGTCCAACTTTTCCAGCCCTTTACTGTCTTTCCATCACTCGTAGTCTAGTGACTTCATTTTCTTGTGGCTGGCAAGCTTTTCTTCATACTTCCTTCCAAACATGTGAGATGACAAATGTCTGTAAGACATGTCCCACTAGCTTTACCATGTTTTCATACTGCTCCATAACTTCAATTTTATTACTGTAAAATTCCTTTGAATATTGTGTGTCTACCTTGTAGCCATGGTCCTCTAGCCATTCCCCCCTGAAGAATGATGGCGGATTGGGGAAATGCCTTAAGGTTGGATGCCCCCGTGACTCAGATCTTCAGGTCCTAGAAAGTGAGCAGCTCAACTCAGCTAAATTTGCAGCAATTAGAAAAGCTGAAACAAATCTGGAAGTGTATTTACTGGGTGCCCCTTCCTCTGATGGTGGACAAAGTGACAAACACATAGTTTCCAGCCATCACCAGACACTGTGAAAGGAGAGCAGCAACTGCTACAGCACAGGTCCTGTCTGTCACACCAGGCTCCACAGATGCCTTCCCAGCCAGCCAGCCAGCCCTGGGCTTCTGGTATCTCCAACCCCCACGCCAGAAGTTTTCTCAATGCCAAACTACTTTCTGAATCTTAAATATTCACTAATAATCTCCCCAATCACATCTTCCCCTACCTCCCAACTCCCCATCAGCACCCAGGTCGGTAGCATCCCACGTTGAAGGATGCAAACCTGCCATACTACAAAAGGGTTGGGGGCTGCAGCTTCCACTGTGAACCAGACAGCGGACAGGCACCAGTGCTTGTGAGGAAACAAACCAGAGCATTTGAAATCAGTTCTCTCATGGAAAACTCTGGGCCTGTGATTTACACAAGAACAATGAAGAAGGTGCAATTTGGGAGTATCTGCACAGGGGCTTTCAAATTGCTATGACAATGATTAATGGTTTTTAAGCTTAACCTCAAGTTCCTTACTTGTAAAGTGAGGTTAAATAAGTCATTTTGGGGCTTTCTAACTCAGCGGACACCCAGTGCCGGCGCCCTTCCT